CTGCAATAGCATAATCAATACAAAGAAACAAGAGAAAAGTGTTAGAATAGAAAAGCATGCGCCTTGGAGATAAGAGAGTGAGAAAATCTCGTTAGTGGAACTGATGAGATTTTATGGACTAGGTGGCATCTGTGGTTTACTTTAAAGGTCTAATGATCTTAGCATTTCATTCACCAGCTGCATGCAACCTCTCAGGCATGTCAGCCAACTCTCCCGAACTTGGTTTCCACGTCTAGGAAGTGGAAAAGCAGAATCCGAACACGCCCAACATCTCTTAGGTTCTGATTCGGTGATTCCAGAATTTTCCCTAAGAGATGCTGGCAGACTCTATCAGCCACTTCTTTCTTGCCCCCAAAAGTCACACACATGATAAAGACCACCCAAGCACATGACAAGAAGAATTAAGCAAGCCCAGGATATAAAGAGAAGAGGCAAGGGATCAATAATTAAATGCTAATTTGGAAAGTGCCACATACAGTATGGTAATTAAAACCTAAACATCTGGAGAAAAGACAGTGTTTAATGTTGGCATGTACCAAGAGACCCCAAAGAATGATCAATGTGTTCTGGGGACTGGGGTCCTATTTATAGGATGAAAGTCTTGAAAGGCTCTCCCCGCAGGAAGCAGGAATAATACTAATGAAGTGGTGATAACACAGAAGGAGAAGCAACAGGAGCTGGAGGGGGCACAGGAGATAGAAAGAACAAATATTCTCTAGTTTTGTTTTTTTTTTCCTTTGCTGGAAACACCGTATGCAGAGAATACGAGGGTCTAACAACTAAATGATGGGCTACTCCACATTTTTAAAGAAAACTCTTTCTTGTTACTCTCTTCCCTTGAATCCACCTGGGATTTCGTATTCTTTAAACCTTGAAGATGTTAACAACGTCTCGTGAAGGGAGAACAGCTAAGGTTGGGTGGGGTGATGGGAAAGGTATTGCTGATAAATACACTCAGAGTGTAAAGAAACATTCCTTTCAGGCAGAATATAATTATAAATTCAGTGAGAGTGAGACTGGAATTTCAGCACTGATTTTTTTTTCTTTGCTACATGTGTGTTGTTCTTCTCATCACCCTCTACATGTCAGCTGTTCGTTTCAGGCATAGTTTAAATGATCTTTTCTCTCAGAAGATTATATATATATATGCATCCAATAAACCACTGATGACACAAACAAGCATTGGGATTTGCCATGAACTGGGGGTGGGGGAGTGCTCTCCCTTGGAGACATGGTGACAGATAGCTAAGCCTGCCTATCCTCTGCCACTAGGATCCACCCCATCCTTGTTCTTTCGAGCCCGCCTCATATATCAGAGGCCTGGGGCAGGGTTCCTCCTGAAAGAGAGTACGCAGTGAGCTAGGATAATACCTGGAGGCAGGCTTTCTGTGTCTCTTACTCAAGATTTTCTGTCCTGACCTGTGAACGCATTACAGTTTCACTGCAACAGACCTATCCAAGAAAAGCTGCTGTAATCTACGGCAGACGGCCCATGGGCGATCATCAATTTAACCTGTAAATAAGGGCCTGCTTTGTTCTGGACTCTGATCCCAGTGATGTCCCTAACAAGCTGCCTGCAAAGCCAGGGCATGATGCCCGCTGCTGGCGTTGGGCTGATTGAGGATCTGCACTGGTCCTCACAAGCAGCTAAAAATAGCAATAAAAACAAAACAGGTTTCTGGGACTGCGGGACAGTTACCCTGATGCCCGTTTTATTCCATTGGCTCTCACAGATGTGAAAAGCAAATAGAAGTATCTGGTAGAAAAGATGTTAACTTGTTGGACAGCACCCTAGAGAACTGCAAGAATTAATGCAACCCTTTCAAGGAGCCTGCCTTTCCACGGGAGGATGCAGAAGTCCTGGGAGACCTGGAAGGAACTTAAGTGCCTTTGTCCCGCATAATTAACAGAGCCTGATCCTTCTTTGCTGCTTCTCCTCTTTCTCCTCCTTATCCTCCTCTCCCCTCTTTTTTTAACATAAATTCTCATTGATCGGGGAAACATATTCACATTTTAAAATGTTGCATAGGTACTATCTCTTTGGTCCAACTGGGTCCCTTTGGGGGGAAGAAATACATTTTTCATGATGATAAATTCATCTCATAAGTAGAAAAACTGCACACAAATTCACTGTTATGTCAACTTTATTGATTTTTTGCACCATTGTAAAGAACTTCATTGTCCTCCAATATTTCTTAAATCTAACAACCTCGCAGAAAGTGACCCTGAAGGCCTCCTGTATCTGCAGAGGAAAACTCCCTTCTTTGTGGTTCTCCCACAAACACTGATTGAAACAGCTCAGGCCTGACCCTGATTCTGGCAGGTACCTGTCCCAGAGGAATCTCTTCTCTCTCTGTCATGGGCAACACCTTTTTTTCTCAAGTTTTGATTTTCAGCAAACTGCCCACAGCCAAAGGCCCTCTTTTAGGCCCTCAGATGACTGCAGAGTAAATGAGCACACAGCCTGGTGGGCACTGGTGCGGTGACGTGAGTGGGTTCGACGGCAGGGCTCCTTGCTGGATTCTGTCTCCGCTTTCCTTCCTCTCTTAAGAGCTACATCAGGATGTCACAGTCCCACTCTTCAAGTCCTGCTCCTGCAAACAACCTTGGAATCTCTAGGTCATGGCTAATTCTGCTGCTAATGAAAAGGCTGTGCTTACATGCAATGTTTGACATCTTATGTTTTTAAATCATATTCTTCTCTAATGGCATCATTAAAAGAGGCCATCACTAGATTAGAACAATGTTCAGGTCTCTTCCACTAAATGTCTTTGTTTTGGCCTGTATCACTCTACATATGGGAAAATGTAAGTGACTCACCCAAAGTTACCTGCGAGGCAGAAGCTCTCTCAAGGCAACTTTCGATTATAAGAACTCATATGGCATTTGTTATGAGGATACAGGACCTCTGAGGATAGAGCTCTGGCTTATTTCCCTTTGTATCCTGTGGTGTCTCTAGTGTGTTGATTGCTAAACAAAATTTACTAAAAATGTGAACTAGAGGAAAAAATCAATAGGGATTACAAAGAATTGATGCAAGGCCAACAAGCATAGCTAAAGCTCGTTGTAAAAATAAAGGATATAGGTTCAGCTCCTCGACTTAGGAGATTTATATACAGCAGATCAAAATTATTTACATGTAATTGTTGATGATGGACCAATAACCAGCCAGTAAGGGGACACTAGGAAAGTTCAGGGTATATTTCTAAACATACAAGGATGACATTACTGAACTGTGCTGTGTAATACTGGTATAATACAGGGGCCATCAGCCAAATATGTGTATTTATATTTAAATTACTTGAAATTAAATAAAACATAAAATCCAGTTCCTTAGTCATACTTGCCACATTTGACACACTCAGTAGCCCCAAGTGGTTTGTGTCTACAGTATTGGACAGTTTAGAGAAACTTTTCTATTGCTGTAGAAAGTTCTAAGGAACACTGCTGTTTATAGAGGATAATTGGACGTAATAGTAGTCTATTATCTCCAATAATTATATGAAGAAGGAGGGGGAGGAAGGTGAGAAAAGGAGAATAAAGTGAAGTGAAAACATTGATTAAGCTTAACTACTCTGTCCTAAACACTTGAAATGACTTCGTATTTTCATATAATCCTCACAACTTTCCTCCTGAGGTAGGAACTATAATTATCCCCTATTTTAAATTGATGACACTGGACTTGGAGAGATTAGGTAAATGACCATAGTTGTACATTTGTTAAATGGTTTAGATGAGTTTATACTCAAGCCATCAGAACAGAATCTATGGGCACCTGATACATTATGCTGCTTCTATTGAAGAACTTGAAAGGTTTAAAGCCAGGGGGAACACGACACTTGTGTAAGTGGTTCTCCACCTAGACACACACCGGAAGTATCAGGGGAGCTCGCTCAGGGTCCAGGTGCCTGAGCCCCAGTCCACAGCAACAGGGACTAAGGCTTGCACATTCGGGGACCACCCAGTGCCTTGAATGCGAAGCCAGTGTTGAAAACAACTGTTTAGAGATGTTCTCGTCCACCTTTCACAGTCCGAATGAGAAAATGCAGACCCTACCCAAGGCAGCTAACAGTAACTACTCACAGACCTGAAATGAGAACCCAGATATCAGTGCATATTCCTAACAGAATGTGGCTTAGGGCATACTGATCAACAACACTTTTCTGTTTCCTGATGAACACTACTATTTCATGTAATTCATGTAATACTTAGAAATTGTGTCGCAGTTTAGAATTTGACAATGCAAGAATTTGACCAAGCAATTCTCCTCCTGAGACAAATAGATCTTTCTTATTTAAATGCAAACATTTTCTTCCTAAGAAAATAACATCTCTCAGAACAGTAATAGCAGTGGTATAATGTACTATGACCACCCACCAAGAAAAAGGAATTCTAGTCTCATTTGCACCCATAACTCTGCAATGGGAACAAACCATTTTCTTCTTTTAAACCTTAGTTTTATCATCTGTAAAATCAGGGAGTGGTATTTGCTGATCTACAAGGCTCTTTTTAGCAGAAGCTTCATCCTGGCATTTGTATGCAGGTTGAATAAACTTTAGAAATGAAACTTCCAACCTTCTGTAAGACAATGCATTTGTTTCAATTCTAGTTAATCTATTTACTCCATGTCAGGGGAAAACAGAGGACAACACATGAAAATCTCTCCTTTTTTTCTGTTTTGTCAAGGCCCGTTCTGATTCTTGTCACTGATTGGTCATCGGTCTCACAAGAGCGTCAGCAGCATCCATCTAACAAGACTCATTTCCTGCAGTTGCCTTTTGGAAAAGGTAATGATATACCTCCCCTTGCCGTCCTACAGTCACAGCTGCTGACCTGCAAATTACGATGTGTCAGACATTTTACCACCTTATCATTCATCAGCTCATCTATGCATCTCTTCAAGCTGACCTGTAATGGGTTTTTAGGCGGCTAGAGAGGTTAGCGAACCAAGACAGAAGTCACATCACAAAGAACTCGCATGCTGAATACACATTTCTTACCTTACGTTTGTTGGTGGGACACACGTAGAGGTAGCTTAAAATTGTTTTCAACCCAACTTTATCATTCAGCTTCTCATAGGTTGTCCCATAATCGGTGGACCTATAATACAAAAGGAGCGTTAATGAGGACAGAAGTATACGTCATTTGGCTGCTTGTCAGGATAATGTATGTTTTACATAGTCGAACAGCTCTTGGAAGGTTGCTAAATGATTCATGTAGTATATAATGATGCTTAATTATGTACACAGTGGCATCATGTGAGTGGTTAACATTTGCATTTAAATCGAATTGGTAAAAAACGAAAACTCCATCTCTCTGCTGCTCCTTAGCGTATGCACATTGCATAAAGGATGTGGTTAATTTGAAAAGATTAAGAGATGAGCACGTCCCTTGAAGTGACCAAAGAAATAAAGAGATTTTACTTAGATTTGACATTTCCAAACTGATGCTTCATCTTTGACATAGCGGAAAAGCAGGTTCTCCTGATTTATCTACAAATTGTGTTTTCTCCCACGAGTCATAGAATATATGGTGGGTCAGTCCCTTCAAAGGTCATTCAGTCTTTTCCTATTATCTAGCAGAAAGAAAATGTCTTAATATGTGAAATTTCACATGTTACTGGGCAGCCTTTTTCAGTGTTAAGCAAGCTGGAGTTGAGAGATATTACTTCTTGGCACAGGTGGACTCTATCTTTGTGGAGATGCTCTCATCTTTGTCTAGCCATTGGTCAATAACATTAATTCAGACTAATAAATAGGCCTTAATCACCTCCTCTGTGAAAGTCCATTACATATTTCAGAATTATAATCTTGTTAGATCATTATTACCATTATGGGCCGTAGAGAATATTATCTGTACTTGGAGGAAGTGGATGAAAGAACGTAAGTGACCCATTCAAAGAAGACAGCTGGTAAGTGGCCACTTAAAATGTGCATCGAGGTGTTCTGCCCCTAAGTCCTGTGTCCCTAATATTATACCACAGCTTTGTTTTTAATTTAAAGAAAATAAATATAAGTGAAAGGTCCGTTCAGCCTTCTTTTTACATATAGGAGGTTCCCAATGCAATTCATTCATTCATTCATTCATTCATATTTGTAGAGTTCCTAAAAATGTAATTGGCCCTATGCTAAATGCCAGGATCCAACACATTGTCCCTACTCTCAAGAATCCAACAGTTTTACTTGAGACGCAGGCATATAAAGTTATAATGTGTTAAGGGCAATGACACAGATAAAAATGAACAAGGCTTAGAAAATAAAATTGGTTTAATTAGAAAAACACAATATGTAACTATTTAAATTCATCTCTACTATTAATGAAAGTTACAAATTCCTACAGGCCAGAAAGAGTAAATAGAAGATGTTCATGCCAACAATCTCATCACCATACACTAAGAACCTACTCCTGACCAGGCACCAGAGTACAAAAGCTGTGTAACATGTGATCCTGGAATTAAGAAATTAATAATTTATTCTGGCTGGGAATCCAGGGTATTGTTACCCTAAAACATAAATATATTCTGCGCTGGTTGGTGTAGCTCAGTGGGTTGAGCATGGGCTATGAACCAAAGGGTCTCCAGTTCAATTTCCAATCAGGGTACATGCCTGGGTTTCGGGTCAGGTCCCCAGTGGGGCCACGTGAGAGGCAACCACACATTGATGTTTCTCTCTCTCTTTCTCCCTCACTTCCCCTCTCTCTAAAAATAAATAAATAAAATCTTTAAAAAAATAAATATATTCTATAAATATTATAGATAATATTGTATTCTCACAATTATATATGGTCATATGCCTATCTATATGTATTACAAATAGTCAATACTTCATAGAATTTAGATGATACTTCAGATCACCAAAGATTGGAGATATGCAATGATTTTTGGAAAAACCATACATCTTGAAAATGGAAAATGGGTAGGACTTTAGCAAAGGGAAGTGGTAAGAGCACTATAAACTAGAAGGCACCACCAGTAACCTGCGTTCTTCAGGAACCTTTGAAGAGGAGTCCCAAACCCTTCCATAGACCTTACCTATGGACCACATTCATCTTTTCTCTGCTTAAACTCATGCTGATGTGAAATTTCCCCCTATTCTCCAAGAAATACCTGAGATTCATTTCCTAACTCAGTGCAATCTTGGTGTTTAGCATTTCTTCTCTCATTCTTACCCTGGTGTTACTGGGGCAAGTGAGAAGTTTGAAGGGTAAGTAACAGGGGGACTTTCTCTTCTTAATAACACTTCTTTGTCTCAAACATTTTGCTAGCCTTTCTCTAGCTCCTTTTATTGGATAGCTTTTTATATTCATTATTCTGAACAATAGTTACATCAAGAACAAATAAACAGACGCAAAATCTATATGGAGGTGGTGATATGAGAAGGATGAAATGTGAAAATATTATTACATTAATAATTTGGCTTAGTGATAGGGGGAGATCAGTGGGACTACACTGAGGATGAGAAAATGGTTCACTTCTCCTATGGGGTTAACAGGAAAGAATGCTAGAGGAGCAGGGACCAGTCCCTAGAGAGGTGATGATTAGTTTTTTTTTTTTAAATTATATTTATCGGCTTTTCCCCTGAGATATTCAGTGAATATTTTTAACTAAAAAATAATCCACAAGGATAAATAAGGATTCTATATGAACTCTTCTTCATTTATGTGTGTGTTTGTTGTGTGTGTTTAACTGAAATCCCAATGTATCAATGTGATAATGGAGGAACTAGCTTGGCTTTACATTAGTGACTTTTTTTCAGAGAACTTATACTACATTACTGGATGCTTTCCTCTTATTAAAATATCACCAGTCTAGACCCTCTAAAGCACTTGCCATGACTTTGTGTGCCATGTCTTGTCCCTTGATTTTTCAAACCTCAACAACTAAAGTAAAATTTGTTAATTCTCAAGTTTGGCCCAAAGCTATGTGTTTAAACATTATGGTATTGTAATAATCAATAGACAGTAAGAAAAAAATGATGTAATTGCACAAACCCCAAATGACTTAGACTAACAATTACCAAAGGTTGTCCTATACCACTAGAATTAGAGTGTTGACATGTGTCATGGATAAAATTGACAATCAGCTGGGACACATCAGTACAATGGTAAGGAAATGGAAACAATCCAACACTTGCAGAGCAGTTGGAAAATATGTGCTGAACCAAGTTCTCTGAGTAGCACTTGTGCCAACCTCACCGCATGGCCTCTCCCCTGGAGGCCTCCTAGATCTCCTTACAGTCCAGCAGTCAAAAGACTATGGGCTGGCACAACAGAGGTCCTTCCCTGGGATTGCCTCAGCCAATCCCAGGGAAGGAGACAGTGACCTTGGAGAAGGCACTGCACCCTGGAAGGCAATTCCTAGTGCCCATCTGCAAACCCTCTTCACAGCTAACAGATGCTTCCGGTTACCTCTGCATGGTCAACTGTGGGAACTGCAGTCTCCTAGGGACGTGGGCTCTGAAGGAGCAGAGGAGAGACAGACAGCTGAGCAGCAGGCTGGCTGGCGAGCCAACGCACTGGCTGTTAACCATTTTAAGCATCATCCCTAGGGATGGGGGACAGGAATAGTATATTATCCAAGATAAAAAAGAGTTAGGAAATGCTTGATTAAACAAAATTTAATGTTTCCTTACATCAGAACTTTTACATAAATTTTATTACTCTAGTAAATACTGTGAACCTCTTAATGCTCATAGGTCATACAGCATTTTCCAAATATTTTTGATTATAACATCCATTCTTGAGTGATATGTAATGAGATGAGGGTTCTAAACAACATACTTTGGCAAACATAACACCAAATATTTTTTAAAGGGAAAGAATAATTAATGGATCTTGGCTTTCTAAGAAAAGGGAAATAATAAAAATACTTAAAACAAATCAAATTTGTAAATAGAAAGGCCAGCCTATGCTAACCATAAAGTCATTGTTGTTGTTAAGGGAAAAAATGAGGAAACAATCTTTAAAAATTATGTATCATACAAAGAAAAATTATGTATCATACAAAGACATAGACATATTTAAGATGCCATATAAGTAGCTTTGAATTTTTAAGAAATTCCAAAGCAGGCATTTTTTTTTTCAGGTGTTGTTTACAGGTTGGCTTATCTACAGATGAAAAACAGGGCTCCCGTCAGTACCTCCGCTGTACTGGAAAAAGCTAAAAGCTTAAAAAATAAGCATCCCAGGAACATAAATATACAAGTGATTAAATGAGAACTAGAGTGTTATTGCCTTTGAGCCTTAATCCCCACTTTACCCTTTTCACAAACATATCTTTAATTGTGACTCCGAGAACAGCTGGAAGCATTTCTTTTATTTATCTACGGCATGCATAGAGTTGCTAATCGTTGCTTTGAGGGGTGGAAGAACCAAGTTGAAGGCATGACACCTGCCTTCCAACAACTTATGATCTCTTTGAGATGGCAATCTCTCCCTCATACTTGAATTGAAGGGATCAATACAAGACAGTACCAGTTTCCACAAAGAAATAAAACACATGATTGATTTCCTCTACTATAATCTTATACCATCCAATGAAATCAATAAGCACAGGACCACTTGTAGATTGCATGAGACCATAAAAAGTGCCAACACAATGGCTAGCATAAAACAATCTACAAATGATAGCTTTTGTTATTCATGTCATCACTCGTTTTGTCTTGATTTTTCTGTATTCTTTGCCTAACGCATACTAAAATCCATAACATGGACCCCCAAGGAATATCTCAACCACTAAAAATGACCGAGATTTAATTTGTAGAAAACAGAAGACATCTGTGGAGATATTACCATTTTTAAATGCAACTGTATTTAGACTACCATAGTGTTAGCTTTGTTAGCTTTGTTAGCTGAGTGTTAGCTTTGTGTGGGACTTAAATTAGAGAGGTAAGGGTTAGAACTGAAATTTAAGAGTTAAAGATGTCACACACTATTTCTATAGTAAATGTGCCAAGATTCCATTGCTTAACAGACTATTATGCTTCAGAAACCTAACAGATAATAAAATTTAATGTAATCTAAACACTCCATGTGCAGATTCTTATGAAACGAGCATTGATATTAACCACGTGTCACTGATAAGGAAGACCCAGCAGTGTAAC